CATGTAGTCTACAGTGATCCTCGGCAGACAGAATTAACAGACATGTAGTCTACAGTGATCCTCAGCAGACAGAATTAACAGACATGTAGTCTACAGTGATCCTCGGCAGACAGAATTAACAGTCATGTAGTCTACAGTGATCCTCGGCAAACAGAATTAACGGCCATGTAGTCTACAGTGATCCTCGGCAGACAGAATTAACGGCCATGTAGTCTACAGTGATCCTCGGCAGACAGAATTAACGGCCATGTAGTCTACAGTGATCCTCGGCAGACAGAATTAACAGCCATGTAGTCTACAGTGATCCTCAGCAGACAGAATTAACAGCACTCATTGCCGATGAGACACAACAAATGACACCATTCCGTTAGACGTAATCATAGTGAGAGTATATCTAGGATTTTATCAAAAAGAAAACAATTGTAAACACTACCTCGGATAACACGTGAATGCTACACATATGACACTCCCCATATATATATATACTTTTCTGCATGGCCATACAACCAAATACGGTTTGAATTGTGTCTAAAATTTGTTCTTTTTAATCAAAAGATCCATCATTACTGGCAAAAAGTATTGAACAACCATTTACTCCAATTTCCTTGTCATTATTGTTGCGACAATTCCTCATTTTTTGTGTTCATTCTTCTGTCCATTTTCTCCTTGGTATCATAACATTAAAATGACCATTTCAAACACGGCTTGTGGATGAGGAATAGTCGAGGATGGCGTAGAATTTTTTTATACTTTGTTTTGCGCCAAATCTTGTATTGGTCATGTTTTTCTTGTATTTGCCGACTTGGATACGTATCACCCTGTGCCTTCTTTTTTATTGCAACAATATCAAACTGGTTGATAAATGAATTGTGTTATAGAAATCTGTCAGTATTTCATCGTTGGTTTTAATGATTTTGTTCCCAGTGCCCGGTTGTGGAGGGATCTTTAGTCCTTCCCAATATCAGATGATGACAATTAACTCCCCTGGATATCCCGACGGATACGCTGATCATCTTGATTGTGTTTGGCAATTGATTGCTCAGCCAGGATACGTTGTGTGGTTCAACGTCACTGACATCAACCTTGAGAGCCATCAGTCCTGTAGATATGACCGTCTGTCTGTGTATGATGGTGAGTTATACTTCTGTAAACTCAGATACTAAACTCTTTGTATTTAGGATCTTACATGAGTTTCTATTTCATATGAAATGAAAACGAGAGTAAGATCCTTTTTATCACATAATTAATATTTGTGGCATTTATTCTTGTAAGAGGACAATTTTCATACAACCTTGAAATGTAAAAAGCCGCCATTTTGACTCCAGTGCATCAGTCTGTCACGTCATGTACTTGTCTTAGAAACAATTGAAACTTACAACCAATCATAGGGCTGATAGGTCATGTTACATGGGTAAATATGCAAAATAATATGACATGGGTATATCGATTATTCACTGGATAAAACAGTACATTATGTGATATATATATATATATAGGTCAAAAAAGTAATATAGACGGTAAAATCCCATATAACACTGGATCCTAATGGAGGTATGTCCGTAGGATACGAATTACTTAAAATAGTATATGGGGCAAAGAAGTAATTCCAACAGTGTATATATATACTGTATATATATAAAGTTCTGTGGAAAGTGGAAACTTTTATTGTGTGGAAATGCTCACATTTTAGACTAGAAAAAATTATCATAAAAATATCCACACAGGAATGTGAATATTTTATGTTATTAAGTTATCTATGTATTTCAGAACCATTGCAAATTCAAAGATTTCCGTTCCACGATATCACATCCACACAAAATCACTTACAGAAAATCATTCCACATGAAATCATTTCAAACAAAATCACTTTCACGTGAAATCACGAAATCACTTCCACACAAAATCACTTCACACGAAATCACTTCACAGGAAATCATTCCACACGAAATCACTTCAAACAAAATCACTTCACACTTCCACACAAAATCACTCCACACGAAATTACTTCCACACAAAATCACTTCACACAAAATCATTTTACACTTCCACACAAAATCACTCCACACAAAATCATTTCCACTTGAAATCAATTCACACGAAATCACTTCACACGAAATCACTTCCACACAAAATCACTTCCACACACAAGAATTTCTACTTTCTACCTTCAGGTCCCGTGGTGAACAACAACTACGGCCCGCGTCTGGGACAGTTCTGTGGGAGGGTCGGTAACGCTCAGCCTATCCAGTCGACCGTCTCACAGATGACACTGCGCTTCACCACAGATTTCTCTATCAACAGGACGGGTTTCTCTGTCAATGTACAAACTGGTAATCTCAAAATCCTGATTTTTTATTTACCCGATATTTGCAATGTGTTAACAAAATTTATATCAAGCAAGGTGTCCACATTAAAGAGTTCATTTCAACAGAAGTATCAACCATCCTAAGTTTTAATTCATCCATCACGGCTGATGAGATTTGAAAATGAATATTTCCTCTATTTTAGAGGCACGTGAATACCTCTCAAGATTGCTAGTAGTTTATCTGCCAAGAACTTCTTAGGCCCATTTTGGGTCCAAAAACAACAGATTCCTGATCCCTATATCTTTAGAGTCAGAATGTTTATGTAGATGTGCATTTGTAAGATCTTGCAGTCAACATGTTAGACAAAAACAAAAATTAAAAATTAAGGTTCTTTGAACCCTGGTCCCAATTGAAACTTGATACCTGTATGGATTACCTATTTTAGTGTTACTGGCAAAGCCAGCATTGATATGAAGGAAAGGAAGTCTGGGGATCTTTCTATTTAATATTTACTGAGTCATGAAGCTTTATTAACTAGGTGATGTCATCATTATGTTATATTATGCTATTTATCTCAATAGAGCGGGGGGGGGGGACATTTCTCCAAAGGGAGATAATCCTGCACACATACAAACCTCCAGACTTAACAGTGGGCACTGCTTGTAGTTTTGATAATGTGTATATTTCTGGCATGCACTGCAAGGAGATATGATTTCTGTCTTCCAGTCTTGTGGTTTGTTTAAACAATCAGACACACAGAAACATCCATGAGATATATTACTTTTTGTTTGCAGTTTGCGGTGGAATATTACGCATGCCATCTGGTGTATTAAGCAGTCCCTCCTACCCAAACTCCTATCCCAATAATATCAACTGTACATGGTATGTGATCGTCGCAATTGGCCGTACTATCCAAGTTGAATTTAATGGTGGATTCAATGTCGTGGGATCAGGCGAGGCATGTGGAGGGGACAGTGTCCAGGTAAGAATGGGGCCTTATATATCGGTCCACAAGTAATTAATACAGGGAGTTATAATGACTTTTAAAGAGGACACCATCAACTAATAAAGGGAACAGTGCTGGGCATGGTAAGAATGAAGCCTGGAGTCAGTCCCCCATTAAGTGAATATATAAGTTTAATCATAAAAAGTGAAATCTTTCACCAGGAATGATGGCTGGATTGTGAGATTTTTTGATTGATGGGTCAGTTTTATTTAGAAAAGTGAGATTTTTTTTTAATGGAAGAAGACGACTCATCCTTTAGTGATTATACCTATTCTAAACCTCTGTTACTAGTTACTTGGTGGACCAAGCACAACCTCCCCACCCATCGGGAACTCTCTGACAGGACAATACTGCGGAAACGTCATACCTACACCGATGAACACTTCAAGTAACTATCTCACTGTGACCTTTGTCAGCGACGGGTCAGGAACGGGCACCGGGTTCCAGATGCAGTTCACGGAGGTCAGTGTGACCTGTGGTGGCACACTCTACCTGACCGACGGAGTGACCAGTGGCTACTTCACATCTCCAAACTACCCAAACGTCTACCCACACAATGTGGACTGTACCTGGGTAATAACTGCCCCGTCGTCACACAGCCTACAGCTCGACTTTGTGGACAACTTTTATATAGAAGATCATAATCAGTATGTGATCTTTGTTTTGTACCAAAAAGTTTATTGTTTCATTGTTGGCCTCCTCGACCCTCCAGGGGTTACTCTAACTTTCACTCTCTGCACCCCTGGAACATGTCATAGCAAAATACTGAAGGCTCAATGTGACCTACTTGTGGATGAGGAGTGAAGACTAGTTTGATCCTTTGATAAAACATCTTAAGAATATGTTGGTCGTGTAACAGTGAAATTGACTTTGAAGTCGAGTGTCGCTCCTCTGTATTCTTCAAAAGACAGGTTTCAGCCTAGTGATTGGTCAGGTTATTTCGCCCGAGACGAATCAAATAGCTATAGCTGCATGCCTTCAATTTTGCTATGGCGTATACCAGGGATGCAGAGAGTGAAAGTGAGCGTAACCCAAGGAATATCCAGGATCATTGTTGGGTATCAGTGTTGACAGCTCCTTTTGGCCTCTTTTTGGTCTAATGTTTTTTTTCAGAATTTTTATCATAGGAATTTGAAATGGGCATGCTTTTAGCATGAAATGTTGTGTTTATTTCTAATAACCTTTTTTCTCTATCACCCTCATCTTGAAGAGGTAATGCCTTTTAAAATTTATACAATTACTGTATGCAACAGTTTTGACCAGGTCAAGTTCAGAATAGACATTTCTTTCAAGGTTCCATTAAGAATATGTTTATTTGAGTTTCTTAATTAATTTTAAGCTCATGTGCCCCAATTTGTTTTTCAAAACTTTCACATTACCAACTTACCTTAATTTTATCCCAGCTTCACAAGGAAGTTCCTTTTAGGAGGGTGCTGACCGAATCTTTGAATTATTTTGGTAAAAAAAATAGCTAAGACCGAGATTTTTTTTTATTTCTGCTTAAATATCACCCCTAGGTAACTTTAGCAGACTCTACCATACATTTATTTGGATGAGTCCATTATGGTCTACAGTGGTGAAAGGGTTAAATTTCAGGAAGACAATGGGAACCAAACATGGTGAAAGTGATCCTTTTGAAGCCCTGACGAAGTATTTCTTTGTTATTTTTGGCATAAAGACTACACCTAGGTGTTATTTTTGGTATAAAGACTACCCCTAGGTGTTATTTTTGGTATAAAGACTACCCCTAGGTGTTATTTGTGGTATAAAGACTACCCCTAGGTGTTAATTTTGGTATAAAGACTACCCCCCTAGGTGTTATTTTTGGTATAAAGACTACCCCTAGGTGTTATTTTAGGTGTTATTTTTGGTATAAAGACTACCCCTAGGTGTTATTTTTGGTATAAAGACTACCCCTAGGTGGTTTTTTTGGTATAAAGACTACCCTTAGGTGTTATTTTTGGTATAAAGACTACCCCTAGGTGTTATTTGTGGTATAAAGACTAACCCTATGTGTTATTTGTGGTATAAAGACTTCCCCTAGGTGTTATTTGTGGTATAAAGACTACCCCTATGTGTTATGTTTGGTATAAAGACTACCCCTAGGTGTTATTTGTGGTATAGAGACTACCCCTAGGTGTTATGTTTGGTATAAAGACTCCCCCTAGGTGTTATTTGTGGTATAAAGACTAACCCTATGTGTTATTTTTGGTATAAAGACTACCCCTAGGTGTTATTTGTGGTATAGAGACTACCCCTAGGTGTTATGTTTGGTATAAAGCCTACCCCTAGGTGTTATTTGTAGTATAAAGACTCCCCCTAGGTGTTATTTGTGGTATAAAGACTAACCCTATGTGTTATTTTTGGTATAAAGACTACCCCTAGATGTTATGTTTGGTATAAAGACTACCCCTAGGTGTTATTTGTGGTATAAACACTACCCCTAGGTGTTATTTGTGGTATAAAGACTAACCCTATGTGTTATTTTTGGTATAAAGACTACCCCTAGGTGTTATGTGTGGTATAAAGACTACCCCTAGGTGTTATTTGTGGTATAGAGACTACCCCTAGGTGTTATGTTTGGTATAAAGACTAGCCCTAGGTGTTATTTGTGGTATAAAGACTACCCCTAGGTCTTATGTTTGGTATAAAGACTACCCCTAGGTGTTATTTGTGGTATAGAGACTACCCCTAGGTGTTATGTTTGGTATAAAGCCTACCCCTAGGTGTTATTTGTAGTATAAAGACTCCCCCAGGTGTTATGTTTGGTATAAAGACTACCCCTAGGGGTTATGTTTGGTATAAACACTACCCCTAGGTGTTATGTTTGGTATAAAGACTCCCCCTAGGTGTTATTTGTGGTATAAAGACTACCCCTAGGTCTTATGTTTGGTATAAAGACTACCCCTAGGTGTTATTTGTGGTATAGAGACTACCCCTAGGTGTTATGTTTGGTATAAAGAATACCCCTAGGTGTTATTTGTAGTATAAAGACTACCCCTAGGTGTTATTTGTGGTATAAACACTACCCCTAGGTGTTATTTGTGGTATAAAGACTAACCCTATGTGTTATTTTTGGTATAAAGACTACCCCTAGGTGTTATGTGTGGTATAAAGACTACCCCTAGGTGTTATTTGTAGTATAAAGACTACCCCTAGGTGCTATTTGTGGTATAAAGACTACCCCTAGGTGTTATTTTTGGTATAAAGACTACCCCTAGGTGTTATTTGTAGTATAAAGACTACCCCTAGGTGTTATTTGTGGTATAGAGACTACCCCTAGGTGTTATGTTTGGTATAAAGCCTACCCCTAGGTGTTATTTGTAGTATAAAGACTCCCCCAGGTGTTATGTTTGGTATAAAGACTACCCCTAGGGGTTATGTTTGGTATAAACACTACCCCTAGGTGTTATGTTTGGTATAAACACTACCCCTAGGTGTTATGCTTACAAGGAACCTCTTATGTTCCTTGATCATCATTGGTTAGAACATAATCACATGGATGTCGGTGATTTGTGATATTGACTTGATGTTACTATTTTTTAGATACAGCAGGTCAGTATTCACTGTATGACATCAATTTATTTGTAACATCACAATGCTTCTTGCTTCCTAAGTTCTCCTGTACATTGGTTAAATGTTATTTTAGCATATCAAATTAATAATTAAGGCTTTTATTTCAGCAAATATGTGGTTATATGGACCTGAGGATGTGATATTGACCTCAACGTCATATATTGTAATATTGTTGACCGCAATGTCATATGATAGTGGGGTTATTTCAAATTATTTGAAAAATATGTTGTTTATCTTACTGTTAATGATTAGGTAGGGACATATGAAACACATTGTCTTTGAAATCTTGTAAACAATGGATATTGACTAAATTTCTTGAGTAAAAAGTAAGCAAACATCTGCTGTTAAGTGTTTGAATATGTTTGATATTTTCAATTCACACCAAAATATGATTATTATTTTCTTTTTAAATTTTAGTCAATTTTGATTGGCTTCCCCCCTTATTGGATGTCAAAAATGAAATAAATCTTTTTAATTTTACAAGTGTTCATTTTTATGCTTCAGGTGTCGTTTTGACTACATAGAGGTCCGTGACGGAGGCACTATCAACTCTCCCGTGCTCAGTCATTTGTGTGGAAGCACCACGCCTAGTACAGTGAGGTCAACAGGCAATGTGATGTTTGTGAGATTCCGTACAGATGCCAGTGTCGCCCGCGCCGGATTCAGGGCCATGTACAAAATAGGTAGATAGCAATTATTGAACTAAGGGCACCTCTGAATTCTTGTAGTAGGCATACCTGCAAACCCCCAAATCTCCCAATGGGGTCATAACCCCCACTGGGAAATTCTGTGGGGGGTGATAATGCGTGACAAAAAAATTCACGTCAAAATTGATAATTTAATTTTCGCGCCGTCAGGGCATAACATATGTGGTGTCTTCTGGTAGAATTTAGAACTTTTTAATTAAGTAATTTTGAGTTGTCATGAATATATCACCGATGTCGGTCTTGGGAATTGGTACTCAAGTCCGTTTCCAGTTCATTTCTTTATTATTTCCAACTTCCAGTTCCTACTTCTGCATACCATTGCTAGCACCTTCTATCTTAGCTCACTTTCAATCCTGATCGAATCTGGCTCTCTTTCCATCTTCCCACTCTGACTCTGTTCTGCCTCGCTGTACCTCAGTCTGCCTTCTCCTTACCTCAGTCTGCCTTCTCCGTACCTCAGTCTGCCTTCTCTGTACCTCAGTCTGCCTTCTCTCTACTATCTTTTTGTATCTCTCACTTATACTAAAAACTAAGAAGTGTCTAATATGCAAATTAGTTAACTAACATTTATATTGGTCAACTGTAGATGGACAGCCATCAGGTGGTCAATAGAGGTTCCCAGGGTTCCAGCCTGTACCTTCAATTGTCACTAATTGACCAGATCTCCATTCCTCTTTAGATGACTGACCAGTTAGCTTCCTGTCCTTTCATCAACCACACCACCATTCATATTTTGTTTCACAATAACTCCTTGTTCTCAACACTCTGTCTTCAGTTCTTTCACTTTCATCTGACATCTATTTAATTCTGTTCTCACGATTACCATTTCTATTTACATAACACACTGTCCTCAAATCTTCCTATTTCACACTGTCATAGACACATGCAGAGTCTTAAATGGGGTTGTCACTCGTTTTTAAACTCAACCGAGTCAAAGCCTCTTGTGAGCCATAGCATCATTGGTTGTTAATATTTCACCTTCTCACGTCCGGCATTTTTAACAATTTGACTGGAGGCATCTTTCAGGGATGAGAGTTGAAGTAATAATGGGCAAAAGTGTTAAAACCCCTCAAATTTGTTGTGCTAGCCCACTTGCTTATACCTTAAATTTGAAAGTGGCATGATTGGACAGTAACCAATAAAGGATAGGTTGCCATTGGCATTAATAACAGGTTAGCAATACAGGCCCATGGGACCTCCTGTTTCTTTATTGTTTATTTCTTTTCATGACTTTAAAAGGTAAACCAGTAAAAAGTACTCGTTTTTTTCTGATATGTATTCAAATGTTCACATTTGACATATATTTCGTGAATTAAGGGAAAATAGATAAGTGACTAAGTATTTAGAATATGAGGAATGTATGGACAAACAGAAGTTAATCTAGCTGGAATCTCACTTTACTGTAGCTGAGTGTGGAGGCAGAATCTACGGGACAAGTAGAGCCATCATGTCTCCAAATTACCCTAGCAACTACCCTAGCAACAGTCATTGTGTATGGGATATTGAGGCTCCAACAGGTCACTATCTGACCTTCACCTTCGTCAACATCGACTTGGAGTACTCTTACAACTGTACTGGGGACAACAGGGACTTCCTGGAGATCAGGGACATCAATTCAACAGGTAACATTCAGGTGTAATACAACAGGTAACATTCAGGTGTCAATACAATAGGTAGCATTCAGGTGTCAATACAATAGGTAACATTCATGTGTCAATACAATAGGTAAAATTCAGGTGTCAATACAATAGGTAACATTCAGGTGTAATACATCAGGTAACATTCAGGTGTAATACAACAGGTAACATTCAGGTGTAATACAACAGGTAACATTCAGTTGTCAATACAATAGGTATCATTCAGGTGTCAATACAATAGGTAACATTCATGTGTCAATACAATAGGTAACATTCAGGTGTAATCCAATAGGTAACATTCAGGTGTCAATTCAACAGGTAACATTCAGGTGTCAATACAATAGGTAGCATTCAGGTGTCAGTACAATAGGTAACATTCATGTGTCAATACAATAGGTAACATTCAGGTGTCCATACAATAGGTAACATTCAGGTGTAATACAACAGGTAACATTGAGGTGTAATACAACAGGTAACATTCAGGTGTAATACAATAGGTAACAGTCAGGTGTAATATAATAGGTAATATTCAGGTGTCAATAAAATAGGTAACATTCAGGTGTAATACAATAGGTAATATTCATGTGTAATACAATAGGTAACATTCAGGTGTCAATGCAATAGGTAACATTCAGGTGTAATACAATAGGTAACTTTCAGGTGTACAATAGGTAACATTCAGGTGTCAATACAATAGATAACATTCAGGTGTCAATACAATAGGTAACATTCATGTGTCAATTCAACAGGTAACATTCAGGTGTAATCCAATAGGTAACCTTCAGGTGTCAATACAATAGGTAACATTCAGGTGAAATACAATAGGTAACATTCAGGTGTAATACAATAGGTGACATTCAGGTGTAATACAATAGGTAACATTCAGGCGTAATACAAAACGTAACATTCAGGGGTCAATACAATAGGTAACATTCAGGTGTAATACAATAGGAAACATTCAGGTGTCAATTCAACAGGTAACATTCAGGTGTCAATACAATAGGAAACATTCAGGTGTAATACAATAGGTAACATTCAGGTTTCAATACAATAGGTAACATTCAGGTGTAATACATCAGGTAACATTCAGGTGTAATACAACAGGTAACATTCAGTTGTCAATACAATAGGTATCATTCAGGTGTCAATACAATAGGTAACATTCATGTGTCAATTCAACAGGTAACATTCAGGTGTAATACAACAGGTAACATTGAGGTGTAATACTATAGGTAACATTCAGGTGTAATATAATAGGTAATATTCAGGTGTCAATAAAATAGGTAACATTCAGGTGTAATACAATAGGTAATATTCATGTGTAATACAATAGGTAACATTCAGGTGTAATACAAAAGGTAACATTCATGTGTAATACAATAGGTAACATTCAGGTGTAATATAATAGGTAAAATTCAGGTGTCAATGCAATAGGTAACATTCAGGTGTAATACAATAGGTAACTTTCAGGTGTAATATTCATGTGTCAATACAATACAACAGGTAACATTCAGGTGTAATACAACAGGTAACATTGAGGTGTAATACAATAGGTAACATTCAGGTGTAATATAATAGGTAATATTCAGGTGTCAATACAATAGGTAACATTCAGGTGTAATACAATAGGTAACAGTCAGGTGTAATACATCATGTAACCAACAGGTGTAATACATCAGGTAAAAACATTCAGGTGTAATACATCAGGTAACCAACAGGTGTGATACAATAGGTAACATTCAGGTGTAATACAATAGGTAACATTCAGGTGTAATACAATAGGTAACTTTCAGGTGTAATATTCATGTGTCAATACAATACAACAGGTAACATTCAGGTGTAATACAACAGGTAACATTCAGGTGTGATACAACAGGTAACATTCAGGTGTAATACATCAGGTAACAATCAGGTGTTATACAACAGGTAACATTCAGGTGTAATACAACAGGTAACATTCAGGTGTAATACATCAGGTAACCAACAGGTGTAATACAACAGGTAACATTCAGGTGTAATACAATAGGTAACATTCAGGTGTAATACATCAGGTAACCAACAGGTGTGATACAACAGGTAACATTCAGGTGTAATACATCAGGTAAAAACATTTAGGTGTAATACAACAGGTGACATTCAGGTGTAAATACAAGGGGTAATATTCAGGTGTAATACAACAGGTAACATTCAGGTGTAAATACAACAGGTAACATTCAAGTGTAAATACAATGGGTAATATTCAGGTATAATACAATAGGTAACATTCAGGTGTAATACAACAGGTAACATTCAGGTGTAATACAACAGGTAACAACATTCAGGTGTAATACAACAGGTAACCAACAGGTGTAATACAACAGGTGACATTCAGATGTAATATAACAGATAATATTCAGAACAGGTTACATTGAGGTGTAAATACAACAGGTAACATTCAGGTGTAAATACAATGGGTAACACTCAGGTGTAATACAACAGGTAACATTCAGGTGTAATACATCAGGTAACAACATTTAGGTGTAATACAACAGGTAACCAACAGGTGTAATACAACAGGTAACATTCAGGTGTAAATACAACAGGCAACATTCAGGTTTAATACAGCAGGCAACATTCAGGTGTAATACAGCAGGTAACCTTCAGGTGTAATACAACAGGTAACATTCAGGTGTAATATAAAAAGTAATATTTAGAAAAGGTAACATTCAGGTGTAAATACAACAGGCAACATTCAGGTTTAATACAGCAGGCAACATTCAGGTTTAATACAGCAGGCAACATTCAGATGTAATACAGCAGGTAACCTTCAGGTGTAATACAGCAGGCAACATTCAGGTGTAATACAGCAGGTAACCTTCAGGTGTTATACACAGGTAACATTCAGATGTAAAACATATTGAAGTATATAAAATATTTGTATACTTAGGTCCAGTCTTGATGCGGTCCTGTGGTCATTACAACGGCGATCCCATCGACACCTCCGACAGTTTTGCACTTGTCACCTTCAATTCCAATGCTGAAAGAAACCAGGCAGGATTTTCCATCGCCTTCCAAGCTAGTGTGGAGGGTAAGAGTTTTCATTGCCTCATTGTTAACATAGCCAGGAATGAGACTGCTGTTTATTTGTCAAATTTCCTTCAATTTCTCCCCAAGAAACCATTGAATTCCCACCATCAGAAGGTAGCACTAGTGATCTTTCAGAAGACACTTATTAAAGATACCCAACATTTTGTTAGCTGAGTTTCATTGTTTTTGTTGATAGTGTGTGGCGGCGACAAGACCACTCCCACTGGGACGTTCACATCCCCCAACTTCCCAGGGCAGTATGCACACTCTCGAGTATGTACCTGGCTAATCACCGTCCAACCGGGGCGCCGAGTCTCATTGACCTTCGACACCTTTAATTTAGAAACTGGTTCAAATTGTCGTTTTGATTATGTAGCGGTAAGTAAATCAACGCTGTGCAAGGAATTTTAAAAGAAAATGTAAGCTTTATGGTTCAAGCTGTAATTTATATTTTCTGTATATATAAAGTATAGTCATATGTACATCACATTTTTATGAAAAGGGCTTTCATAGGCAATGCGTGTGTCTAATCCATTTGTACATGTTACAAAAATTGATTTGAAATGAAAATAAAAAATACATACATTCATAGACGCTAAAAGAGAAACAACGTGTTTCCTTACCAAACACTAGTATTGAAACCATGTACAAAGTGCTAGCAAGGTAAGGACATAGATGTTTGGGGTAATATGTTGGGAGCATTCAAGTTTATACAGGTTCTGATATTCAAATGAAGTTTGGACTGCATAAGGAATGCAACTGACAAGCATTTGATAAAAATAGTAACCAGCTGATGGAATTTGATAAATTTTCCTTTGTAGAATTACAACTGAAAGCATTACCATAACATAACCTATAACATGACTTTCTGTGAAGACATGGCTTATGAAATAATGCTGTCTCCCGTCATTGATTACAGGTGTATGATGGTATCCTGGCCGACTCCCCCATGAAAGCCCGTTTATGTGGAGAAACCATCCCTGTGCTCCAGGAGTCTAGTGGTAACACCATGAAAGTCGTGTTCCGTACAGATGGTTCGATCAGTAACGGAGGATTCCGCGCCTCATACACATCAAATAACGAGCTAGGTAACTAGGCTAGATTATATAGGGAAGAAATGGAAAGTCCCATGTCAATAGGAAAAAGGGAATAATTAAGTAGTCTGTCTGTCTGTCTGTCTGTCTATTTATTTTGTGCATGTTCAGTCTTTATACGTTTTTGTCATTTCAGCATGGTTTTATTAAGTAAAACATTGTGTCGACAATTCTCAAATATTTTCCATAAGAAAAAAAAATAAAGTATTCTCAGCAAACAAGTTGTTTCTCTCATCAAATACCTGTAGGTAACTCTGTAGCCATATCTTGGCCTTGATTTGAGAAAGTCTTTATAAGGTGACAATTTGGGGATAATATTTGAGATCGTCAAAAAACCTAATTATCTCCGTATGTTGTAGTTTGCGGTGGAACGTTAACCAGTAATCCTGGGACGATTACCTCCCCTGGATACGATACCGGGGCTAACTACACTAACAACCAGCAGTGTGTGTGGGTAATTGCCAACCGTAACGTTACTGATACTTCTGTGGCTTTACGGTTCTACAGCTTCCAGCTCGAGTCGCACGGCAATTGTAATTTTGATTTCCTGGAAATCCGAGAAGGTAAGATAGTAACTGTAAAGACAGAATACATGTACCTGTCATTCTGATTGGTCAGATCATTCCTAAGGACAACAACTACCCTGATTGGTCAGATCATTCCTAAGAACAACAGCTACCCTGAATAGGTTAGATCATTCCTAAGAACGACAGCTACCCTGAATAGGTTAGATCATTCCTAAGGACAACAGCTACCCTGAATAGGTTAGATCATTCCTAAGAACAACAGCTACCCTGAATAGGTCAGATTATTCCTAAGAACAACAGCTACCCTGAATAGGTTAGATCATTCCTAAGAACGACAGCTACCCTGAATAGGTTAGATGATGCCTAAGAACAACAGCTACGCTGAATAGGTTAGATCATGCCTAAGGACAACAGCTACCATGAATAGGTCGGATCATTCCGAAGGACAACAGCTACCCTGAATAGGTTAGATCATTCCTAAGAACAACAGCCACCCTAAATAGGTTAGATCATTCCTAAGAACAACAGCTACCCTGAATAGGTTAGATTGCAATGAAACTTGGTCAGCTGATGTATTGGAGAAGTTAGAGGTCATGCAAATGATAAGTGGAATTCACAAAATTATATATATGCCCGCTATTTTATTGGGGTGATGGGGCATCTATTATTAGTACCACTATCACTAGGGGTGGGGGCTTATTTGCAGTCAAAACGGTAATGACCTCCCAACCCCTATCCCCTCGGATCCTGTTGCGATTCATTGTCATGGTTCTACATTTTATCAAAGTTAATAGAAAAAGGTCAAATATGAGAACACCTTAGATGAGCTACTATTTTAGGGTCCCAAAGTCAACATCACTGCTGCTATTTATAGGTCAAACACACGGCCGAAAGGGCATTCATGTCATACAGATGTTCTAGTTGTATTCACAACCTGATTGGTCATAGTTGTTGTTGACTATGCATTATTACATTATTATATTTTCTGGCACCCAGTTAACCCATAAACTCAACATGAACTAGAATCAACCTTCGACACAGCTCTGTTCCGCCGTGGGCTCCACCGGAATGACATCATAAACTACATGCGCTTTCACACAGTTCATACAGCCCTAAAGTATATAGACTATCCATAATATTAGCCGTATATGGACACTTTTAATAATGCATGCAAGTTTTCTACCGGGCCTACGCCACTTTGTGGAGACTTCAAAATTCTAGGTTAGGTTATGTGCAGTGTATGTGAGTACCCTTATGTTAGGTTATGTGCAGTATCTGTGAGGACCTGTATGTTAGGTTATGTGCAGTGTCTGTGAGTACCCTTATGTTAGGTTATGTGCAGTGTATGTGAGTACCCTTATGTTAGGTTATGTGCAGTGTATGTGAGTACCCTTATGTTAGGTTATGTGCAGTGTATGTGAGTACCCTTATGTTAGGTTATGTGCAGTGTCTGTGAGTACCCTTATGTTAGGTTATGTGCAGTGTCTGTGAGGAGCTGTATGTTAGGTTATGTGCAGTGTCTGTGAGAACCCTTATGTTAGGTTATGTGGAGTGTCTGTGAGTACCCGTATGTTAGGTTATGTGGTGTGTCTGTGAGTACCCGTATGTTAGGTTATGTTAGATTATGTGCAGTGTCTGTGAGTACCCGTATGTTAGGTTATGTTAGATTATGTGCAGTGTCTGTGAGTACCCGTATGTTAGGTTATGTGGTGTGTCTGTGAGTACCCGTATGTTAGGTTATGTGCAGTATCTGTGAGGACCTGTATGTTTGGTTATGTGCAGTGTCTGTGAGTACCCGTATGTTAGGTTATGTGGTGTGTCTGTGAGTACCCGTATGTTAGGTTATGTTAGATTATGTGCAGTGTCTGTGAGTACCCGTATGTTAGGTTATGTGCAGTGTCTGTGAGGACCTGTATGTTAGGTTATGTGCAGTGTCTGTGAGAACCCGTATGTTAGGTTATGTGCAGTGTCTGTGAGTACCCTTATGTTAGGTTATGTGGAGTGTCTGTGAGTACCCGTATGGTAGGTTATGTTAGGTTATGTGCAGTGTCTGTGAGTACCTGTATGTTAGGTTATGTGCAGTGTCTGTGAGAACCCGTATGTTAGGTTATGTGGAGTGTCTGTGAGTACCCGTATGGTAGGTTATGTTAGGTTATGTGCAGTGTCTGTGAGTACCTGTATGTTAGGTTATGTGCAGTGTCTGTGATTACCCGTATGTTAGGTTATGTGGAGTGTCTGTGAGTACCCGTATGTTAGGTTATGTGCAGTGTCTGTGAGTACCCTTACGTTAGGATATGTGCAGTGTCTGTGAGTACCCGTATGTTAGGTTATGTGCAGTGTCTGTGAGTACCCTTATGTTAGGTTATGTGCAGTGTCTGTGAGTACCCTTATGTTAGGTTATGTGCAGTGTCTGTGAGTACCCTTATGTTAGGTTATGTGCAGTGTCTGTGAGTACCCTTATGTTAGGATATGTGCAGTGTCTTTGAAGACCCGTATGTTAAGTTATGTGCAGTGTCTCTGAGTACCTTTATGTTAGGTTATGTGCAGTGTCTGTGAGGACCTGTGTTAGGTTATGTGCAGTGTCTGTGAGTACCCGTATGTTAGGTTATGTGCAGTGTCTGTGAGTACCTTTATGTTAGGTTATGTGCAGTGTCTGTGAGGACCCGTGTTAGGTTATGTGCAGTGTCTGTGAGTACCCTTATGTTAGGATATGTGCAGTGTCTTTGAAGACCCGTATGTTAAGTTATGTGCAGAGTCTCTGAGTACCTTTATGTTAGGTTATGTGCAGTGTCTGAGTACCCTTCTGTTAGGTTATGTGCAGTGTCTGTGAGTACCCGTATGTTAGGGTATGTGCAGTGTCTGTGAGTACCCTTATGTTAGGATATGTGCAGTGGCTTTGAAGACCCGTATGTTAAGTTATGTGCAGTGTCTCTGAGTACCCTTATGTTAGGTTATGTGCAGTGTCTGAGAACCCTTATGTTAGGTTATGTGCAGTATCTGTGAGTACCCATATGTTAGGTTATGTGCAGTGTCTGAGTACCCTTATGTTAGGTTTTGTGCAGTGTCTGTGAGTACCCGTATGTTAGGTTATGTGCAGGGTCTGTGAGTACCCTTAGGGCAGGATATATGCACTGTCTGTGAGTACCCTTATGTTAACTTATGTGCAGTGTCTGGGAGTACCCGTATGTTAGGTTATGTGCAGTGTCTGTGAGTACCCTTAGGTCAGGATATATGCACTGTCTGTGAGTACCCTTATGTTAACTTATGTGCAGTGTCTGTGAGTACCCGTATGTTAGGTTATGTGCAGTGTCTGTGAGTACCTTTATGTTAGTTTATGTGCAGTGTCTGTGAGTACCCTTATGTTAACTTATGTGCAGTGTCTGTGAGTACCCTTATGTTAGGATATGTGCAGTGTCTTTAAGGACCCGTATGTTAAGTTATGTGCAGTGTCTCTGAGTACCCTTAGGTCTGTGGGTACCCTTATGTTAGGTTATGTGCAGTGTCTGAGTACCCTTATGTTGCCAAAAATTGTTGTATGAATAAATCCTACAAATCTGAACTACTTTCCTTGTTGTTGTTTCATAAAATTGTGAATTGTATTAAAACCATTACAATCAAAGGTTAGTCATTAATACATGCAGAGATATTAATCTGCCACAACCATTTTTCTTTCAAAAATGAAATAAATGTATGATTTGGTGTTCTGTTTAGTAAGATCATGCAATACAAAATATCTGACACCATATAAAACTTGAAGTGTATTATAATTTCACAGTCCTTAGGGTGTTCTTAGACCTCTGCAAGCTATAGTGTAGCAAAGGGATTCAGATGTTTGGCTTTGGTAGTTTTGAAATATGAAAATGAACAAGATATAACAGTCATCAATTTTAAATTATCATCCGGAACGTCAGCTTAGTAGTTTCCCACTTGTTCCTGGGGAGGTTGTACTACAGGCTTGCACTCTAGATCTGTCCATCCCAAAAGTTACTCAAAAGTACTTCAAGTTTATCTAGGGCATATTTTATATACCATTTCACCTAGAGTAACGAAACTTGGTATGCATGTACATCTTGGGATGGCGGAGTGCAGACTATAAAAAGTAGGTCACTGTGACCAATGATTTGACCTTTGACCTTGGTAAATAAAGAAATCATTACTAGTGGGGACTCATAACGGATTGCCTTAGTCAGTACTAATTTTAGTGTACATTTTTTGTGTCCGCAAGTTTTAGTATCATAGTCACACTGAGGGTCAAAAGCCATAGTGTCCAGAGATACAAACATGTGATTTTATATTGAAAAATTTGCATTTTCAAGGAAATTCAGCAACAAGTCCATTGATTGGAAAATATTGCGGAAAAACTCAGGCGCCTCCACCAATCTATTCGCCATCGCCTTACCTGTGGGTCCGGTTTAGGACTGACTTAAGTATTGTTGACCGCGGCTTTAGCCTTAATTATGGATTTACAGGTGAGGAAGGAGTTAATTATGGCTTCTATAACCATTACTGCTAGTGGCTCTTCAGTAGATCATTGGTGAAGGTGTGAATTCACTCATTCACCCCTGAAGACACATTTGGATTCTTCCAATTCAAAGGATGAGATAGTTCATTATGAAATTACAGGGGTGAATGAGTTAAACTTTAAGGAACTATCTATACATTTATACAGATTGTGTTGAAGTCTGCATTGGGTCTTTCAAATTCTACGAATTCTGGTGCTAAAAATTGGTATAAGAGGAAAACATAATCTTGAACATAACAATATAAATTGTAAACAAAGCAATAATCACTGCATGGCTGGGTATCATCACAGGTCTAAATTTTGTCACAATTTTAACACGAAATGAGGAAATTTAATTTGTACCATTCCACTTGATGTCAACTTTCAAACAAAAACAATTACAGACAGTAGACACTATTGAACTGAATTTACATTGATCAGTGTACCTGCCAGTGAACTGATCTCTTTGTTTTAAGACACCTGTGATATAGAACATAACAAACAATAATGTGGACAAAATAAAGTGATATTAAGCGAAATCAACATCAAAACAAGTGATTTTCACTGATATTGAATTACATAGATTATTCAGCAGGAAGAACGGTGCATCAAGAAAACATGATGTTAACCAAAAAATGACATTCAGTGACATGATATTAAGTGACATGATATTAAGTGAAAAGTACTGTACTTAATTGTAACATAACAGAATTGTTTGAGCCTACATACAATTTTGCTAATTGCAATACTGGTACAGTCGATCCCACTAAAATTGAACTCGGATACATTGGCTTAATTTGAAGAAAAATGTTTTACCCCAAGGAATTCAGTATAACTGGGTTCAACTCTATATAGAAGTGATATAGAAGGCTCAATTGCAGTTTATATCATTGCTAATTGTAACACATGTCATGTTCACAGATCAAATGGCCAATCGTGACATATTTGTCTCTTGAATTAGCAAAAATGTTAATCCCTGTAAAAAAAAAAAAGCTGGCTATGTGGTTATACATGTATAACAGCTAGTGGCTATGTGGTTATACCTGTATAACAGCTGGCTATGTGGTTATACATGTATAACAGCTAGCTACGTGGTTATACATGTATAACAGCTGGCTATGTGGTTATACCTGTATAACAGCTGGCTACGTGGTTATACCTGTATAACAGCTGGCTATGTGGTCATACATGTATAACAGCTGGCTATGTGGTTATACCTGTATAACAGCTGGCTACGTGGTTATACATGTATAACAGCTGGCTATGTGGT